ATCAAATGGGGGTGGACAGCTAATGAAGTTGCTGCTCATCAGACAGGGGTGGCTGCTCACATGGCTGCTGCTCCTCAAATGGGGGTGAGCGTGTGTGGCTGCTGGTAGTCAAACGGGGGCAGGCAGCTCACACAGTTGCTGCTCCTTAGACAGGGGCAGGCTGCCTGTGTGGCTGCTGCTCCTCAGATGGGGGCAGGCTTCTCACGGTGCTGCTGCTCATGTGTTTGTGGTACCCTGTGCAAAGCGTTGGGCCAGCCAGAGAGGAATGTGCTTTGGAACTCACAGGAGCCAGTGGCTGGGGTGGCTGGAGTCTTGGTGATGGTGGGACTGCACCCAAGGAAGCAGGTCCCTGGCAGGGGTGGCTGTAAAGTCCCAGGTGGTGTCTGAGGGTACCCTAGGTGGAGGTGAGGCTGGGCTCCCAGTCACAGCAGCTCTCCCCTTCAAGAAGGTGCAGCCTCTGTAGTAGAGCCAGCCTCCCCAGGACTGTTTGCAATTGTAGCAGAGCCTGCCCATCTAGGAGAGCTCGGTCTGCCTGTCCTGTGGGATCTAACTGTCCCTCACTCACCTCTCTCACACACACACACACACACACACACACACACACAGACACACACACACACACACACACTCCCCTTTCTCTCCCTCACTCACTCACACTCTCTCCCTCACTGCTGCCTTTTTCCTGCCTCTGTAGTTGGGTCTGGAGTGTCTGGAGTGTTATTGACCTTTTCATGGATGGAGTCTCCTCTCCAGGTGTCTGGTTATGTGGCTTGCTCTCTACCACATTGATCAAACAGGACAAAATCCAACTCAAAAAGATATGACACAAAGGAAACAACATGAATGTACTCATGACACCTATAAACCCAATATAAGTGAAAAGAGAATTAGGGGAGAGAAAAGAGAGTGCAAATGATATCAAGGAGAGAAAAAATGGTAAGAGAGAAAAGAAAAAGAAGAAAAAGAAAGAAAAAGGGAAATACACGCGCGCACATGCGCGCACTCTCTCTCTCTCTCTCTCTCTCTCTCTCTCTCTCTCTCTCTCTCTCTCTGTTTATAAAGA